TGGCATTGGCACAAAAACAGAGACATAAACATACCTTTGGATCAGATAAAACCATTCTCATGTTGTCATCTGAGCTTTGACAACGCAGATAAAAACCTATACTGTGACAGAGAGTCTGTATTCACTAAATGGTATTGGGAAAATTGGATAGCTTCATGTAGAAGACTGAAACAGGATCCACACCTCCCACCACTCATAAAAATTGTTTCACAATGGATAAAAGACTTAAGGCACAAAACTATAAGAACTCTAGGAAAAATAGTGGGAAAAACTCTTTATTAGATATCAGCCTAGGCAAAGAATTTATGAAAAAGATCCTGAAGCAATTACAGCTGCCACAGAAATGAGTAAATGGACCTGATCAAAAAGCTTTTGTAAAGCCAAGGATACAATTAAAAGAGCAAATAGACAACCCATAGAATGGGAGAAAATATTTGAATGTTATTCATCTGATAAAGGGCTGATAACCAGAATATAGAAAGAACTCAACCTTATCAGCAAGAAAAAAAATCAACCCCATAAAATGTGGGCAAAAGATAAGAACAGAAACTTTTCAAGTGAAGATAATCTGATGGCCAAAAAACGTGAAAAAATGTTCAGCATCTCTTATCAGGGAAATGCAAAACAAAACCACAGTGAGATATCCCTTAACTCCAGCAGGAATGGCTTTTGTCAGAAAGTTCTGAAACAAGAGATGTTGTTGTGGATGTGGAGAGATAGAAACTCATGTACTGGCTGGGCACCTGTGGCTCAAGTGGCTAAGGCACCAGCCACATACACCTAAGGTGGTGGGTTCAAATCCAGCCTGGGCCCGCCAAACAACAATGATGGCTGCAACCAAAAAATAGCTGGGTGCCTGTGGTCCTAGCTACTTGGGAGGCTGAGACAGGAGACTCACTTGAGCTCAGGAGTTAGAGGTTTCTGTGAGCTGTGATGCCATGGCATCTACCCAGGGGGACAGCTTGAGGCTCTGTCCTCAAAAAAAAAAAAAAGAAACTCATATACTGTTGGTGGCACTACAAACTAGTATAACCTCTATGAAAAGTAGTATGGAGATAACTCAGAGAACTAAAAGTAGACCTACCATTTGATCTGACAGTCCAACTGGTGGGTATTTACCCAAAGGAAAAAAAGTCATTTTTTCAAAAGACACATGCACTCAAATGTTTATTATAGCACAATTCACAATTGTAAAGATGTGGAAACACCCCAAGGGCCCACCAATACGTGAGTGAATTAATGTAGTATATGTATACCATGGAGTACTACATAGCCATAAAAATGATGATCTAATATCTTGGGTAATAACCTGGATGGAACTGGAAACCATTCTTCTAAGTACAGTATCTCAAGAATGGAAAAACAAATATCACATGCACTCAATACTAAACTGGAACTAATTGATCAACTTATATGCTCATATGGAAATAAAACACTGAAAATACAGTAGATGGCTTAAGTAGAGGGGATGGGTAAATTCATATGTGTAGTGCACACAGTCTGAGCGAGAGTCACCCTTATACCTTTGACTCAATCTGTACAAAGTAAAGTATGAAACCAAAACTTGTGTTCCCCCATAATACTCTGAAATTAAAAATAAATTATTTTGCTAAGTCTAGATTTTAAAATTTTACTTTTTAGAATTACCTACAGTGATTTAACAGATACATGGTAAAATACCTTCCTGTAGTTCATTTTTAGACTTGTTAAAATGCTAGAAATATTTTGCATTGTTTTATAATACTGCAATAACATATTAGAACATTAAGTTAAATTTATCTAAAAATCCATACAATCATTTATTACTTTTAGGGGTTGCTATGGCTATGACTACTTGGTAGCTTTAACCCTTGAATTTATTATTTTTGAAAAACTTTGGACATTTCCAGATATTTTTTATCATCGTGGAAACTAAAAGTGTGGTGTTTCATTTGACATTTGGAAAATTTAATTTTTTAGATACAATGAACACAAATCTGAATTTTATATTTTGATGTTTGCTACTAATATTTTGATGTCTGCTACTAAGGGAAAGCATTCAAATATTTTTAAGCCTGTGTATTAATAAATAAGATTGACTGTTGATTTGGACCATGTAATTGTGCTAAGAGGTTCAAATATGGATTTTGTTACCTTCTACTCACATTAGAAATAATATTTTAATATAGCATTGGGAGGAATACTTAGTATTTAGATATATTTTAAAATTCTATTTTAGAATAAGTTATGTGATATTTTTTGGTCGAGACTCCTAAACATTGTTGAATGAAGTCTTTTTCAGTGAGAAAACTAAACACAGAGATTTTACCACAAAAACAAAAACCTATGTTTTAGGTTGAAATACATAATATATTTCTGCTCAAATCTCTCTGCTGACTGGTGCTACTTTAAAAAGTTGTCTTTATGCTGTATACTATCTGGAAAATTCATAGACCCACAAGTTAACTTTTTTCCTTGTGATTCAACTAACATTTTACATAGTTTCAATTTCCTTTTTTCTCAGTAGAACTTGTGTAGTTATTACTAATGTTATTTTTGAAGTTGATTCTTAATTGCTTAAAATTAGCTTTTCATGTTCGATGAAATGTGAGCCAACAGCTTTAACTTCTTGAATCACACACCTTGAAGATCTGATAAAAATATTTACAGTTGGGCATACACAACATTATGTGGTTTTAGGAGTTTCACAGATCCCCTTCAAGTCCCCTGTATTATGGTATTACAGTAAGACAATTATGGTAAGACAATTTATGGGGATCACAGAGAATGTTTCCATTTTTCCCAGTGATGGTTTGAGGTGTCAAAGTGTCAGTTTATTCTGTTTTTAGATGTCTCTGCTTTTCCTTTTTTTTTTTTTTTGAAAAAACAAAACAAAACAAACATGTTCCCTACAGTTGCATCTCTGCCCTCAAGATTCTTGATTTAGTGGTACAGAAACACATGGAAAGAAGAATTATTTAAAAAGGGTATACAGATAATGTGTTGTTGGAGTGTGGAAGGATTAATTACGACTGGAGGTCTGAAGTAGGACTTCACAGAAGAATTGGTTTTTAGGAGGGTGAAAAGAATTTTTATAGGAAAAGTAGGAAAGGGAATACTGTGCTATGGGAACAGCATGTACAAAGGTACAAAGTATTAGAAGTTAACAATGTACAACATTGGAAGTTCAGTATGAATTAAAATGTTGGGTGTTCAGAATAGTAGAGTGGGAAATTAGGTTAATCTGGGGAAATAATGTGGCAAGATGAGGAAAGGTGAAGGGGTATGGTATTCATAGCTTTTTTTCCTTCTGTAGCCTGTTACTAATTTTAATTTTAAAAGTAGAAAGGTTCTGAGAGAGATAAGGACTCAAAAATTAATAGAACAGTTAAACAGGACAAGAGCATAAAATTGCATTTCTCTGATGATTAAGGATGATGAGCACTTTTTCATGTGTCTGTAGGCTGTGTGCCTGTCTTCTTCAGAGAAGTTTCTCTTCAAGTCCCTTGCCCACCCTGAGATGGGATCACTTGTTCTTTT